AGGGAGAGAGAAGGAAAGAGGGAGAGAGGGAGACAGGAGAAGAGGGGAGGGGGGAGAGGAGGAGGGAGGGAGAGAGAGGGGGAGGGAGACAGACGGAGGGAGGGAGAGGGAGAGAGAGAGGGAGGGAGGGAGGGAGAGAGGGAGAGAGGCCAGGCCCACAGGCAGTCAGTCCACAAAAAACCGAGTGAGACCCTGTCTCTACAAAAAAAAAAAAAAAAATTAGCCAGGCATGGTGGCATGCACCTATACCCCAGCTACTCAGGAGTCTGAGGTGAGAGGATGTCTGCAGCCCAGGAGGCAGAGGTTGCAGTGCACTCCAGCCTGGGCTATAGAGCAAGACCCTGACAAAGCAAAGCAGAGCAGAGCAAAGCAAGGAAAGAAAGCCACAAAAAAACCAAAACTGCAAAATATTGCTTACAAAAATTAAAGAAGACATAAATAAATGGAGAGATATACCATGCTCATGGATTGGAAGACTTAACACTGCTAAACTGTCACTTCTCCCCAGATGGATCTACAGAGTCTACATAATCTAACTTAAAACTCCAGAAGAAGTTTTTGTAAAGCTGACAGACAGCTGATTCTAAAATTTATATAGAAACACAAAGGTCTCAGAATAGTCAAAACAATTTGAAAAAGAGAAACAGAGTTGGAAGGCCGGGCGCGGTGGCTCAAGCCTGTAATCCCAGCACTTTGGGAGGCCGAGGCGGGTGGATCACAAGGTCAAGAGATCGAGACCATCCTGGTCAACATGGTGAAACTCCGTCTCTACTAAAAAAATACAAAAAATCAGCTGGGCATGGTGGTGCGTGCCTGTAATCCCAGCTACTCAGGAGGCTGAGGCAGGAGAATTGCCTGAACCTAGGAGGCGGAGGTTGCGGTGAGCCGAGATCGTGCCATTGCACTCCAGCCTGGGTAACATGAGTGAAACTCCGTCTCAAAAAAAAAAAAAAAAAAAAAAAGAGTTGGAAGACTTACCTTCCAAGCTGGATTTCGAGGTAGATTACACAGCTACAGTAATCAGAATAGGCTGATTAGGATAGACAGATAGATCAATGGAACAGAATGCAGAGTTTAGAAATAGACCCACACAGATACTCAACTGATTTTTTTAACAGTTGCTTTTCAGTAAGGCTGCTAAGATAATGTGATGGAGAAACGAAGGTATTATCAATTCAAATGGCTGACATGACTGGATATTCATTTGGGGAAAAAAAGGGACTTTAGCCTTTCACACGATACACAAAAATTATGAAATTCTGAAGAAAATGAGAAAATACTCATAAACTTGCGGCAGGCAGAAATTTAATAGATGGGGCAAAAAGCTCAAACCATAAAACGGTTTCATTTTCACAAGGACAAATTAGTATTTATCAAAATTAACACATCCCTTCAAAAGAAAAAAGGAGAAATGAATATATGAATAAACAAGTCACAGAGAGAAAATATTTGTTTTTTAAGAAGTATTTGGCTTTTAATTTTTATGGGTTCATAGTGTATATATTTATGGGGTCCATGAGACATTTTGGTTCAGGCATACAATGGAAAATTCACGTCATGGAGAACTGGTATCCGTCCCCTTGAGCAATTATCCTTCGTGTTACAAACAATACAGTTATACTCTTTTAGTTATTTTAATTATTTTTTTTCTGAGACGGAGTCTCGCTCGGTCACCCAGGCTGGAGTGCAGTGGGGTGATCTCTACTCACTGCAACCTCCGCCTCCCAGGTTCAAGCAATTCTCCTACCTTAGCCTCCTGAGTAGCTGGGACTACAGGTGCACACCACCACACCTGGCTAATTTTTGTATATTTAGTAGTGATGGGGATACACCATGTGGACCAGGCTGTTCTCCAACTCCTGACCTCAGGTGATCCACCTGCCTCAGCCTCCCAAAGTGCTGGGATTGTAGGTGTGAGCCACTGTGCCCAGCTTCTCTTTTATTTTTAAATGTACAATTAAGTTATTAGTGACTATAGTCTCCCTGTTATGCTATCAAATACGAGGTCTTATTCCTTCTATTTTTTGTACCCATTAACCATCCCACATACCCTCCCACCCCTGCCACGGCCCTTCCCAGTCTCCGCTAACCACCCTTCTATCCTCTGTCTCCATGAGCTAATTGTTTTGATGTTTCAGTACTACACATAAGTGAGAACATGCGGTGTCTTTCTGTGCCTGGTGAGAAAATATTTGTAACATTAGAATTTGGCAAAGGACCTGTATCCAAAATATAGAAATAAATTATACTGCTCAATAATAAAAGAGAAACAACTCAATTTAAAAGGAGGCCCAGTGTCTACAAACAGTAGAATAATTAGCCAGGTATGTTGGTGCATGTCTGTAGTCCCAGCTAATCAGGAGGCTGAGGGGGGAAGATGGCCTAACCACAGGAATTTGAGGTTGCAGTGACCTGTGATCATGACACTGCACTCCAGCCTGGGTGACAGAGTAAGACCCTGTCTCTAAAATAAAATAAAAACGAATGTCCAGGTGAGGTAGCTCGTGCCTGTAATCCCAACATGAGAGGCTGAGGCAGGTGGATCGCTTGAGCCCAGGAGTTCAAGACCAGCTTGGGCAACAGGGTGAAACTCCATCTCCATCAAAACCCCCAAAATTAGCTAGGTATGGTGGTGCACTCCTCTAGTCCCAGCTACTCAAAAGGCTGAGGTGGGAGGATCACCTGAGCCCAGGAAGTGGAGGCTCCAGTGAGCTGGGATCCTGCCACTGCACTCCAGCCTGGGCAACTGGAGTGGGACTATGTCCCCTAAAATATATATAAGTAAATAAATAAATATTAAATGGGCTGGGCATGGTGGCTCACACCTGTAATCCCAGCACTTTGGGAGGCCAAGGCAGGCATATCATGAGGTCAGCAGATGGAGACCATCCTGGCCAATGTGGTGAAACCCTGTCTCTACTAAAAATATAAAAATTAGCTGGACGTGGTGGCATGTGCCTGTAATCCCAGCTATTCGGGAGGCTGGGGCAGGAGAATCGCTTGAACCAGGGAGTCAGAGCTTGCAGTGAGCCAAGACCACGCCACTGTACTCCGGCCTGGTGACAGAGTAAGACTCTGTCTCAAAATAAAATAAAATAAAATAAAATAATAAAATGAGCAAAACATCTGGACAGGCTTCATAAGAAGCAAACAAATGGCCAATAAATACATGAAAAGATGACTGTCCTGCTTAGTCACTGGCCACAATCAGACACCACTACTCACCCACTGGGAGGCTAAAATGTAAAGGAGTGACCATCAGGTGTCTGCAGGAATGTGGAGCACCCGTGGTTCTCTTGCATTGCTGGTGGGAATGGAGAATTCAGTAACCGCTTTGGGAAAAAGTTAAACACATGCTTAGCATATGATTCATCTTTTCTGCTCCTTGGTATTTACTCCAGGAAAATGAAAACAAAGGTCCACAAATCCCTGCACACGAGTGTTTGTAGAAGCTTTGTTGCTGGGGGCCCCAAACCGTAAAAACCATAACGTCTGTCAATAGGAGGCAGGATAAACTAATTGTGGCGTATTAACAACGGCGTTTCTCCGCAATAAAAAAGAATGAACCCCTGATACACGGGACAGTGTAGGTGAACCTTCAAAACGTCCTGCTGTGTGATGCAGCCAGACAGAGAAGAGCGTGTGGCAGGCGGTTCCGTTTATGGGAAACACCAGGGAACCAGATCCGGGGTCAGGAGGGACCTTATTGGGTGATGAAAATGTTGTCTATCTTGTTTTGGGGGGTGATTACATGTGTGCATTGTTCAAAATGCCTCAAAACCGTATACCTAAAGTGCATAGATTTGACTGCATGTAAGTTATCCCTCAAATGAAGTTGATTTTCAAAGTTTTTAAAGATGGAATAATTTCTGCCAAATTGCAGGACAATTATTTTCATCTAGATTTCCCTACAGCCAAACAGTCTACCGACTACAAAAGTGGAAAAAATAATTTAAGACCTGTAAAGTTCCAATTTTGCGTCCCTCCCACGTTTCTGTTGCAGGAAGCTATTCGAGATAAATTGTTCCATGTTCACAGGATTTAGAAGGGCGGAGGTAAATACAGACAAGCTTTATGGGATAAGCAGCAGCAGAACAATTAGCTGAAAGGAACTGATTTCAGGGGAAGGAATAGGAACCGGGCCAGGAGACAGAAGCCTTCCAGGCTTGACCTTGTGAACACAGGAGTCCCCTCTTACCTGCGGGGGATACTTTCCGAGATCCCCAGTGGATGTCTGAATCCACGGCTAGTACCAAACCCTTAACAGACTTGTCTTCCCCTGTGCACACATACCTGTGATACAGTTTCATTTATAAATTAGGCACAGGATGGAGCTACCATCATAATAACATAGAACAATTATAACAATATATTGTCCAAGGCAGGCGGATCATTTGAGGTCAGGAGTTCGAGACCAGCCTGGCCAACATGGTGGAATCCTGTCTCTACTAAAAATACAAAAAATTAGCCGAGCGTGGTGGTGGGCACCTGTAAATCCAGTTACTCTGGAGACTGAGGGAGAAGAATCGCTTGAACCGGAAGGTGGAGGTTGCAGTGAGCCGAGGTTGCCCCATTGCACTCCCAGCCTGGGCAACAAGAGCAAACGCCATCTGAAAAACAACACAGAAGAATATACTGTAATAAAGGTTATGTGAATGTGGTCTCTCTCAAAAAAAAAAAACATATATATACCTTAGTTTGTGGGTTTTTTTTTTTTTTGAGAGAAGGTCTTGCTCTGTCACCCAGGCTGGAGTGCAGTGGTGCATTCGTGACTCACTGCAGCCTTGACCTCCTAGGCTCAAGTGATCCTTCCACCTCAGCCTCCTGGGACCATGGGGGTGCGCCACAATGCCCAGCTAATTTTTTTTTTTTAATTTGATAGAAATGAGTTCTCACTATGTTGCCCAGGCCAGTCTAGGGCTCCTGGCTTCAAGCAGTTCTCCTGGCTTAGCCTCTGAAGTGCTGGGATCACAGGCATGAGCCCCCAGACCTGTCCTGAAAATACTTTCCTGCACTGTACTCACCTGTCATTGGCCTTTGGTTGACCATGGGTCACTGAAACTCCGGCAAGGGAAGGCGTGGATGAGGGGGAACTAAGCACGTGACTTCAACATACATAAAAATCACCTTAAAAGAAACACCACCGATTGTTTCCAGGGCATGGGCGTCTGAGAGGGCAGGGAGACACCGGGGAAGGGTGGTGGCTCCTCTCCGTGGCAGGAACTGGTCTGGCCTCCTGGCTCAGCCTGGGCATGAGGCAGTCCTGGCCTCCCCCAGTGGGTTCGACAGTGACCTTGAGGTGTTCATTTCAGTGTGGTTCCTTTCGGTCTCCCATGGGAAGAGGGTGCTGAGTAGAAGGAAGTCATTAGGAAGCCGGGGTGACGCTCAGAGTCTGTGGGAGCAGTCGGGCTGATGAGCTGGGCGGAGCAGACCGCCTCCCTGTTCTCTGAGCGGGAGGAGGGCCGGGTCTGGACTGGGTTTGCAGACGCTCAGGTGGGGCTCAGAGCTTCCCCTGTGGGGCAGAGGCACCGCCTTGGCAGATGAAGGCCCCTTGCAGGGTCTGGTGCCTGAATCACAGACAGGACACGGAAAGTGGGGCAGGTGAGAGAAGGAGGGTGAGTGATGTGATTTTTCCCCTCCTGTTTTCCAGGAAAACCAAAATGCTACGCACCTCTACCTATGATCCTTTTCTTAACAATGCTTGTCTTGGTCTTGTTTGGGTAAGACACATTTGCCCATCGGTGCTGGCCCGGTTTGGGGAGAAGTGGCCACAGCAGCTAATCAGACCCATGGGGACCCCCTCAGCCCCCCAAGCATCACAGTGGCCATCAGGGTCCTAAGGACAGTTGTTGCTCACGTCGGGCTGTGTGAGGTGTTTTTACTTGCTCCCTTATTTAAGCCTCACCGGGCAATGGGCTCCTCACTCTCCCATTTAAATTTTTCATAAGTGGGGAGTCTGGGGCTGGGAGAGCGAGCCCCTTGCCCACAGTTGCGTGGCTGGGGCTGGGGAAGGCAAGTCTGGGTCCCGAGCGGTTAGCCGCTTCCAGACACAGAGGGTCCCAGAACCACAGAGTGGGGCATCTGTGGACATGTCCTGGAAATGCTCCCTGAGGTGGCCTCGGGGGCTGCACTGACCAAGGCACGGGGGACCTTCTGCAGGTGCTCATACATGAGCAGTATCCCCAGGGACCCCCTCCTGCCCACCTCCTGGTGCGGTATGTGGTGAGGCACCTGGGCTTTGCTGAGAAGGTTTCCTGCCGCCTGGAGGCCTTGCAGCTCTTCGGGGACTCCTGTGCTCATGGCTGGCCCCAGCATGTGCAGTTTGGAGGAAGGGATCCACAGGCAGTCTTGGTTCTGTGTCCTGAACCTTGGCACACTTCCTTCCTGCAGTTACCGGGTCCTAAGCCCCAGAAGCCTAATGCCAGGAAGGCTGGAACTGGAGGCCCGGTGAGTGAGGAGAAGGGCAGGCGGACCATCTGTGCTGGCCGGGGTGCTGGCTGTGGGCTGGGGTCCCGCTCTGGGAACTCCCCCTGCCCCTCCCGGGCACACACATGGGTGGGCCTGGGCCCCCTCTCCATCCTATGCCCAGTGTAGATGTGGCCAGCTCTGTGGCCTTGAAGGGTCACCTGACACGTCTGCCTCCACATCTCTGGAGTCAGCCTTGACCTTCTGACCTCCAGTCCCCGACTCCAGGCTTACCCAGAGTTCGCACACATGGTCTCTGCTCCCTGCCCACACCCCTCCTCCTGAGTCGCCTTCCACCTGCCATCCTCAACTCTCCCTTTGCCCTCAGCCCTACACTGGGTTCCCAAGTCCCGCCAGCCCTGCTGTTCAGCAGCTCACACGCCCGGCGGCCTCTCTGCCTTCGCAGCCCTGCTCCATCGGTCCGGTGGGGCTGCCTCATCTCTGCAACAGCCTCAGGCTTGTCTCCCCGTCCCCATCAGCCCTGTCCCCCGTGTCCTCACAGTGCTGGAGTGGTCTTTCCAGAACAGAAGGTAGGAGGCTCTCCATGGTCTGACCCTGCCTGCCTGACCTCCCCAGCCTCATCTCTCCCAACTCTGCCTTGCCCTCTGTGCTTCAGAGTGGCCTGTGGCTCGTCCACGTGCCGTGCGGTCCTGACTCCGGGCCTGTGTCCGTGCTGTGCCCCCTGCCGTGTCTGCTAATTCCCACTCGTGTCAGTGACCCCTGGCTGCAGAGCACAGCCCCATCCATGGAAAACGATCAGCCACTGATCGCCTCTGTCCCTGGGCTTCCTGGCGTGCACGGGGCTCACCTGGCTGGTTCACTTTGGGGCCGTAAGCAGTTGTGGGCAGATGGTGGGTGGCTGGGGTCACTGCAAGGACATCCCTGCATCTCTGGCAGTTGATGCTGCCTCTCAGCTGAGACACCTACCCAGGGCCTCTCCCCGGGGCCTGGGCTCCTGCTCAGCTTTGTGTGGAAGTTCCAAGACCAATATCCCAAGAAAGAAGATACAGAAGCCGGATGGCCTTCTAGGGCTGGCTTCAGAAGTCACCCAGTGTCACTTCTGCCACATGTTCTTTCTTAGAAACAGGAATATCAGACCCCATCTCTTAATGGGAGGGGCCTCGGGGTTTGCAGACTTGTTCTGGAACTCCACTCCGCCCAGCCTTGGCTTCGACGTGTGTGGTGAACCTGTGAGCTGCGAGACCCCCCAAACGCAGGCCTCAGACAGCAGCGTTGGCCTTCCAGAGTCTGGCACACGGGCCCACGCCAGGCCCATCAGCACAGGGATAGCTGTTCTGGGACTGTTCCTGGTGGACACTGCTCCGCGCTCCAGGCTGACGCTGTGTCCCTTCCACTGGGACCCTCTGCTGGCTCCCATGCACTTGTGCCCTCAGTCCCTGCTGCTGGAATAAACTTCATCTCCTGTGTTCTCATTCTGCAGCATGGCTGTTAGGGAACCGGGCGGTCTGCAGAGTGTCGCATTGCCAAGGTACAATGTCTTCCTTCAGTGGCTCCCATGTCACAGAATTGTCCTGCAGCCGGGTACCTGTGTGTGTGTGGGCAGACGCATGTGGGAGCAGCTCCTCTCTCCTCCTGTGGCTTGGAGGGAGGAGGCCGCTCCCTAGCCAGTCTCTGCTCTGACTCCGCCCTCGTCCTGCAGCCACTCCGAGAGTGCCATGCGGCCAAGACTTCAGTTCTCACCAGCTGCCTGTCATTGGCCTTGAAAGAGGAGGACCAGCTGGTCTGCTCTTCTGGGCCTCGGGGGCTGTTTCCCAGGATGTGGGCCTTTATCAGTGCTGAGACTGCGGGAGTCTAGGCAACCAAGGCCAAGTTGCCCACACTGCTTTTGATTATTTTTTTTAATTGTGGTCAAATACACTTAACATAAAATTTGCTAACTGGATCATCGGTAAGTGGTCAGTGGTCAGGGGTGCTCTGTCCATGCACGTTACTGTGCAGCCATCACAAGGACTCTTTTCATCTTACACAACTGAAGCTCTGTCGCCTTGAAATAGCCACTGCGCTGTCCCCTCCCTCAGCTCTTGGCACTCACCATTCCGTGGCTGTGGCTCTGAGTCTGACCTCTACAACCACCTTTTATGAGTGGAATCAGTGGTAGCTGTCTTTTTTGACAGGCTTAATTCACTGAGCGCGATGTCCTCACAGTCCACCCAGGCTGTAGCAAGTGTCAGAATTTCCTTCTACTGTCAGCTGATTCCCTGCTTTTAAAGGCCATCATAGGACATTCAAATTGTGGTCATTACTGACAATTTCAATGGCCCTGGCTCATGTCTCCTAGGCCTCTCCAGTACTTCAGGTGGGGACATCACTGTGGCCCGCACGTCCCACAGTCTGTGTGTGGCACCTGACAGTGCTTTGTGTCACTGTCAGGGCAGGTTTTACTCCCTGACTTCTCAGAGAGGAAGCCGGGCTGTGGACGCCACCAGCCCACAAGGAGGCCCAGCAGGCTTCGGGCCCAGGTGGGGCATCTGCACGTCTCAGGCCCTTTCCCTGGGAATGACCAGAGACAGGAGCCACACACGCAGTCTCCTCTCTGCGCACAGTGAATTAAGGCAGGACCCCTACATCCCTCCCAGCCTTAAGTTAAGTGGAAAGCAATGGGCCTGCGGTCACTTCGGTCCTCTCCCCAGTCTACAAGTGCTGGATCGGAGACAGCTTCGGCTCTGCCCCAGGGTCCTGGGGTTGTAGGCTGACACAGCCCAGAGCAGCCACAGCGATTCCAGCCTGGGAGGGCGGCCTTGGCGGGAGGGTGTGTGCCCCCCGCCTACATGCATCCCACGCTTCCCATGCAAGCTCCAAACTCACAGCACGGCGCTTTGTGCTTGCAGGATGGTCTACCCCCAGCCACAGACGCTGACACCATGGTGAGTAAGTTACTGAAACTGCACGCAGCTCCAGGGGCTGTTCCGAGGGCATTAGAGGGCGGTTTCCCTGACGGAAATCTCAGCTGGGGCTGCTTCGCCGTTCTCTCCTCTCAGGTGCCCCTGACATCTGAATTCGGAGGCCCACATGGCTGTTCTCACTCCCTTTGCTTTCTCTGACTTGGTCTCTTGTTTTCTAGCTCTTTGTTCACCAAAGCCCCTGCAGAGGCCTGTTAGGTACCTCCTCCCTGGGGAGGGGGGCTGGGGGAGGGTGTCGGTGGGGGGATTCCTGTCTCTTTGCCAGCAAAGCTCAGCTCCCTCTGTAGTCCGGCAGATCCAATGTTGAGGGAGGGTTGGGAATGGCTGGCCCAGTTGGAGCCTGCATTTGCCTCTGGTTGGTTTTGGGGGAATGGTGGCTGCCTCTGGAAGGGTGGTCAGAGGTGGCAGAAGCTGAGTGGGGTTTCCAGGTGGGGACGGCCGTGTGCCAGAGGCACGTATGGGCGGCACCCTGCCAGCTCCCTGCTACCGCACACCTCTTGCCATCTGCAGTAGGAAAGACGTCCTTGTGGTGACCCCTTGGTTGGCTCCCATCGTCTGGGAGGGCACCTTCAACACCGACATCCTCAATGAGCAGTTCAGGCTCCGGAACACCACCATCGGGTTAACTGTGTTTGCCATCAAGAAGTAAGTCAGTGAGGGGGCCGAGGGCAGAGACCGGGCTATGGGGAATGACCGGGAACATCAAGGTCTCTCTTTGTGTTCAGGACAGAGTGGGGTGGCAGCCAGCCTTGTCCTCCCAGAGGGTAGATGGGAAAGGCCATTCACACAGCATCTTACTGAGCTCACGTGGGCTCCCTGGGGGTAAAACTGAGCTCCTTGTCCAGAGGCTGCGTCTCACCCAGGGATGGCGGCTCCTGCTGCCCCCTCCTCTCTGTACCTGTGGCTGGCCCTCCTGCTGAGCCACCACCTCCATACAAGGCTCCAGGTGGACTCTGCTCACTGATCAGAGATGGCAGGAGGGGGACACCTGTTTACTGTCCTTGGACCCTAGAAAGAGGATGCTGGCAGAGCCGTGGTCACTGTGTCCTCAGATGAGGTGAAGCAGGCAAGGCAGTTGGCCCCAGACCTCAAGGGAAGCAGCTAACCCATAATGCCCTTGGACTCTGGGCCAGGCCAGCTTCACGGGGAGCTAGGGAGGTGAACGCAGACACGGACTTGACCTCTCAGCACCCATGGGCAGAGGGGCCAGTGACAGTGACTCCTTCTGGGACTTCTGTGGGGAACAGATGGAAGGCATGTAAGCGGCATCTACACTTGGAAGGAGGAGCATCCTTCCATGCAGCGTGCAGCCTGCAGGACAGCCCTGTGGCCTTCACAATCCCCTTTACCAATTCAGATGTGGGAGAGGTGTGGCCACAAACCCTGAATCCAAAGGTAGAGCTTCTAGACCCAGGTCAGGTGTCTCCCTAACCATAAAACGTTTTCTCCAACTGCCACAGATGGCCGGTCCCTCCTTGAGGTCCCCCAGGGCCATGTGCCATCACCATGGGATATAGGCTTTCCCATCATTCAGCACGTGTGCCATGACCCCGAGGCCCTGAGTTTACGGAGCAGGCACCGCGGCTGCTTTGCCATACCCAGCTCATTGGCAAACCACTCACAAGGGGAGTATAGGCCCTACGGATACCTGGGGACACACATGCCCCAGGGGGAAGCGAACCCAGCAAGGCACCCAGGTATGGGAGTCAGGCCACTGGGGTGGTGTGGCCCGATATGCAGGGACTGAGAAGGGCATGGGGATAGCCAGATAATTCACACTCCAGTTCCTAGGGACAAAGGGCTGGGGAGTTGCCCCTTGGGGCTATGTCAGGGCACCACCTCGCTGCTGTGGGCTGGCTGGCTGTGTCCTCTCTGAATCCTGAGGTGGTCCCCACATCCCCAGTGCCTGTGGGGAGAAGCAGCCCTACAGAGCTGAGCCTTGAGCCCACAGCCACATTGGGCCTGGACTTGCACCCCAGGGCCTGACTGCCATGCCTGGGCTCCCCACCGGGCTCGCTGGCTCCCTGGGACATGGGTGTCCCCCAGGTATCTGTAGGGCCCTTGTGAATGGTTTGCCAATGAGCCAGATGGAGCAAAGCAGCCACGGTGCCTGCTCCACAAACCTGGGGACTCAGGGGGCACAGCACACTCGCTGAATGGTGGTAGATGCCCCCCCCATGATGGTGGCAAACGGCCCTGAGGGACCTGAGGGAGGGGCCGGCCATCTGAGGCAGTTGGAAAAAAATGTCCTGAGGTGGGGGGACACCTGACCTGGGTCTAGAGGTTCTACCTTTGGACTCGGGGTTTGTGGCCTCAACAAACCTTCACCCCTATTCTTTCTGGGGTCCCCTTTTTGCCTTGCCCCACTTGGTAGGCCTGGCTCCTGATCCAGTGGCGGAGTCCAGGAATGACCTACTCCTAGGAATATGTGCAGTTCAAGCCTGGGAGGGAGGAAGCTCTAGGGTGCAGAGGCGGGTGTGTGGGGCCCCAAGCGCAGCTTCTAATGAGGGGCACATGGCTGGCCCAGGCATAAGAGGGGCAGCTGTCTGGTGGCTCAGGCCAGGCCTAGGACAAGTGAGCCGGCACTAGCCTGCGGCCTGCTACGAACCTCCAGCCGCCTGTCCTGGGAAGATGAAGTGAGTCGCGGTCTCGCTCAGGACAGGGCAGGAGAACATGGTGCATCTGCTCCTCTGAGCCTTCCCATGGCCGCTGGTGGGAGCGCGCAGGGCAGACCTCCTGCAGCCCAAGGACGCGGGCCGGCGGCTCCCCAGGCCCTGTCCCCCTGCCTTGCAGATACGTGGCCTTCGTGAAGCTGTTCCTGGAGACGGCGGAGAAGCACTTCATGGTGGGCCACCGGGTCCACTACTACGTCTTCACCGACCAGGCGTCCGCGGTGCCGCACGTGGCGCTGGGGGCCGGCCGGCAGCTGTCGGTGCTGGAGGTGCGCGCCTACGAGCGCTGGCAGGACGTGTCCATGCGCCGCATGGAGATGATCAGCGACTTCTGCGAGCGGCGCTTCCTCCGCGAGGTGGATTACCTGGTGTGCGCCGACGTGGACATGAAGTTCAGCGACCACGTGGGCGTGGAGATCCTGTCCCCGCTGTTCGGCACCCTGCATCCCGGCTTCTACGGAAGCAGCCGGGAGGCCTTCACCTACGAGCGCCGGCCCCAGTCCCAGGCCTACATCCCCAAGGACGAGGGCGATTTCTACTACCTAGGCGGGTTCTTCGGGGAGTCGGTGCAAGAGGTGCAGCGGCTCACCAGGGCCTGCCACCAGGCCATGATGATCGACCAGGCCAACGGCATCGAGGCCGTGTGGCACGATGAGAGCCACCTGAACAAGTACCTGCTGCGCCACAAACCCACCAAGGTGCTGTCCCCCGAGTACCTGTGGGACCAACAGCTGCTGGGCTGGCCCCCCATCCTGAAGAAGCTGAGGTTTGTGGCGGTGCCCAAGAACCACCAGGCAGTCCGGAACCCATGAGCAGGTGGGCTCTGGGAGGGCTGCGGCATCCCCATCTGCCTCCCACCCTTGGTTTTAGAAGAACGGGTAAAGTCCACTTTTTTTTTCCGTCCTGTTGACAGCAATTGCAGCCTAGGCCCTGCCCCCACCTCAAATCACACCCACGCCCCGCCTCCACAGAGACACACCATTACATACACAGACATACACACACACAAAGACATACACAGAAAAACATACCTGCAGACACACAGATGCATAGATGCACCAACACATACAATGATGTACAGAAATATAAACAGACAGACATGCACAGAGACACACGGAGACACATGCAAACACAGAGAAAGACATACAGCAGTCACACAGACACACAGACCACATAGACACACAGACATGCATACACACACAGATACACAGGCATGCACACACAGACACACACAGAGACACAGACACACAGACATACACAGAAAGACACACACAGACAGACAGATACAAAGACACACACAGACACAGATACAAAGACACAGAAACACATCAATATAGACACACAAAAATGCACAGAGACACATGGGGACACACATGCAAAAATGCAGAGAAAGACAAACATATAGAAATGCACACACAGCCCAAATGCCCATCGATGATAGACTGCACAGGGAAAATGTGGCACATATACACCATGGAATATTATGCAGCCATCAAAAACAATGAGTTCGTGTCCTTTGTAGGGACATGGATGAACCTGGAAACCATCATTCTCAGCAAACTGACACAAGAGCAGAAAATCAAACACCGCATGTTCTCATTCATAGGCGGGTGTTGAACAATGAGAACACATGGACACAGGGAGGGGAGCACCACACACTGGGGTCTGTTGGGGGGAAATAGGGGAGGGACAGTGGGGGGTGGGGAGTTGGGGAGAGATAGCATGGGGAGAAATGCCAGATATAGGTGAAGGGGAGGAAGGCAGCAAATCACACTGCCATGTGTGTACCTAAGCAACTATCTTGCATGTTCATCAAATGTACCCCAAAACCTTAAATGCAATAAAATAAAAATAAAGAGGAAAAAAAAAAAGAAATGCACACACAGACACATAGACACACAGACATGCATACACAGATACACAGACGTGCACACACACAGACAGCCGTGCAGACATGCGTACAAACAAAGATGCATGCACACGGACTTAGGCAGCCTGAATTCAGGGCCTGGGGCATAAGTTCCTGGAGGGGCTGCCACCTTCAGCCCCCATGGTGAGCTCCTGGGGCACCTTCCGCTTAGACAGGGTATCATGGAGGAGGTCTCTTCTGGAGCCTGGAGGGAGGCGAGGACAGTCCCAGGAGGGCTCCCTCCTCTCAGAGCTCCTGCACTGCCCCACCCTGCTCCTCCCTGAGTTCCCCCACCCCCAGCCTCTCAGGAGATGCTCCAGCCAGACCCTGAGAGTCATCTGTGACCCCTCTGAGGCTATCTCAGACTGCTCACAACCCTGCCGGCTCTGCCTTCCCCTGCCATTTTCAATCGACCTGCACTTTTTCCAACCCAGTCCCAGCCAGCATCATTTTGCCTGGATGGTGGAATTGCCTCCCTTGGCCCCGTTTCTGCACTGGACCCCCTAGTTCACACTCCCCTCAGCAGCCACTGGGATCCTGTTAATTCCCTGTGGAGTTGCTCCTCTGATGGGAACCCTAGGAGCCCATGTACCACCTGGAGTCACAGTGTTTCCCGTGGCCCCATGGGCCAGCCTCCCACCTCCTACAGTTTGGGGGGCTTTTTAAGGAAAAGGACAAAAATTTAGTTACAAACATGAATACATAGAATGGTAAAGGCAGGGCCGGGCGTGGTGGCTCATGCCTGTAATCCCAGCACTTTGGGAAGTCAAGGCAGGAAGATCATGAGGTCAAAAGATCAAAACCATCCTGGCCAACATGGTGAAACCCTGTCTGTACTAAAAATACAAAAGTTAGCTGGCCATGGTGGTGTGCACCTGCAGTTCCAGCTACTCGGGAGACTGAGGCAGGAGAATCACTTGAACACTGGAGGCGGAGGTTGAAGTGAGCCGAGATCGCATCACTGCACTCCAGCCTAGCAACAGAGTGAGACTCCGTCTCGGGTGGGAAGGTGGGGGGAAGAATGGAAAATAGAGTTGCACGCTCTCCCTCCCACTAGTGATCATATAATGAAAATGTTCAGAAGAGACGGTGGTGATGGCTGTGCTGAATTGTGACTAAAAATCACATAATTGTACACCTGGTAGGGATGAAAATGGTGAATTTTGTATCATGGGATTTTTTTTTTATATGAAAAATACAAGTAAAAATTAGGTATGGCCAGGTGCGGTGGCTCATGCCTGTAATCTCAGCACTTTGGGAGGAGGCAGGAGGATCTCCTGGACACAGGAGTTTGAGACCTGCACGTGGGGCGCCAGCTTTTTCTCCAGTCCCTGGCATACTCCTGCACCAGGCCTTGCCATCATCTCTGCCCAGAGGCCCTTCCCCAGATCGCACACACTTCCACAGGTCTGTGCTCATGTGGCCCTGTCACAGAGTTCTCCGGCCAGCCCCCGGCAGATGGGACCAGCAGCCCTGCCCCATGCTGCTGCCTTGGGTATGCTTTGTCTTTTAGCATAGCATTTAAAACATTTTTTATTTTGAAATCATGATAGATTCACAAGAAGTTGAATGAAGAGTATGGGCCAGGCATGGTAGCTCACACCTCGGCCCCAGTGCCTCGGGAAGCCAAGGCAGGAGGACCGCTTGAGCCCAGGAGTTTGAGACCAGCCTGGGCAACACAGGGAGCCTCCACCTCTACAAAAAGTAGAAGGATTAGCTGAGTGTGCTGGCACGTGCCTTTTGTCCCAGCTACTTCGAAGGCTGAGGTGGGAGGATCCCTTGGGCCTGGGAGTCTGCGGTTCCAGAGAGCTCTGATTGCACCACTGCACAGCCTGGATGACAGAGCAAGAGCTTGTCTCTAAAAACAATAAAAAAGGAATAAGAAGGAAAGAGCATAGAGAATGGTCCCATGTTCCCTTCACCCACTTTCTCCATTCATCGCCTCTTACTTCACAATAGCACCCTATGAACATCTGGAAATTAACACCAGCCCAGTGCATACAGTTCTGCGCCATCTTGTCCCAAGCATGGAAATCTGTGACCACCACCCCGACAGGATACAGGACTGTCCGCACAGAGAGCTCCCAGTGCCGTACCATTAGTCATGCCTGTCCTCAGGCTCACCACCTATCCTCCATCTCTGGTTCGTCATTTTTAGAATGTTCACGGGGCCATTTGGTACGGGGCCTTCTGTAGTGTGTGCTTCTCAGTCCCAGCTCTTCTGTGTTGCTGACTAGCGAGCCACGATCTTGGTTGTCTGTGGCCCACAGTGTGTGCCTGTCCACCTGTTGAAGGACACCGTGTTCCGGCACAACCTCCACTCAATACCGTGTTGGTTTCAGCCTGGACAGTTATGCAAGGAAGATGAAACACATCCAGATGAGAAAGGAAGAAGTAAAACCATCTTCGTTTGCAGATGACATGATGTTATATGTAGAAATCTAGGAAAAAACCCTTTTCCACGTCATATACGTTGAGTAAAGAAAAACCAGCCCAAATGGATGAGTTGATGGATATCAACTCGTGACTAGGTAAATGAGTCGTGGTCTATCTATATCATGGAATAGGATTTAATTGTTCAAACAAATGAGATGTTGATACATGCTATAACACGGATGAAAGTTGGGACCGTTACGCTAAGTGAGAGAAACCAACCACAAAAGGCGTCATAGGATCATATGATTGTATCTCTATGAAATGTCCAGAACAGGCAAATCCATGGAAAGTAAATGAATGGTTGCTGGGGCTGGGCATGGGGGAACTGGGGAGTGACTGTCAATCAGCACAGTTTCTTCTGTGATGAAAATATTCAGAATAGACAGTGGCGATGGCCGTGCTGAATTGTGACCATACTAAAAATCACATAATTGTACATCTGGTAAGGATGAAAATGGTGATTTTCTATTATGGGATTTTTTTTTCTGTGAGAAATACAAGTAAGAAATTAGGTATGGCCAGGTGTGGTGGCTCACGCCTGTAATCTCAGCACACTGGGAGGCAGGAGGATCGCCTGGACACAGGAGTTTGAGACCAGCTTGGGCAACATAGTGAGACACTGTCTTTACAAAAAATTTAAAAATTAGCTAGGGGAGCTAAGCTATGAGGACACAAAGGCATAAGAATGATACCATGGGCTTTGGGGACTTGGGGGAAGAGATGGGAGGGGGAGAGGGCTGAACGAATACACACTGGGTGCAGGGTACCCTGCTCAGCGATGGCTGCACCAAAATCTCAGAAATCACCACTAAGGAACTTATTCATGTAGCCAAACACCTGTTCCCCAAAAATCTATCGAAATAAAAAAGTTATCTGGCATGATGGCATGTACCTGTAGTCCCAGCTTCTTGGGAGGCTGAGGTGGGAGGTCACTTGAGCTCAGGATGCAGAGGCTTCAGTGAGCTGTGATCACACCACCGCACTCCAGTTTGGGCAACAGAACCACCACCTTGTCTCTAAAACAAAACAAAACAAAAAATAGGTGGAGCGGTTTCTGCAACTGTATTATTCTCTTTTAGTATTGTGTTTTACCTATTCTAATTCCTTTGCCTTTCCATGTAAATATATGAAAAAACTTGTTTATGGCAAGGCGTGGTGGCTCACGCCTGTAATCCCAGCAGGTTGGGAGGCTGAGGCAGGTGAATCACCTGAGGTGAGGAGTTCAAGACCAGCCTTGCTGACATGGTGAAACCTCGGATCTACTAAAATTATAAAAATTAGCTGGGTGTGGTGGCAGGTGCCTGTAATTCCAGCTACTTGGGTGGCTGACACAGATAATCGCTTGAGCCCGCGAGGTGAGGGTGGCAGTGAGCTGAGATTGCACCATCGCACTCCAGCCTGAGCAAGAGTGACTCCATCTCAAAAAGAAAACCCTTGTTTATGTGAAATTTAAATCATGCTGAGATTTTGATAGACGAATGTGGGGAGAACTGATTCTCTTTACTATTGTAAACCAAAAAGTATCTGAGACAGGTAGGTCTCAGTTTAGAAGTT